AGAATGAGAATTCACTGTTTAGAAAACGTTGACAAATCTTTGAACTTTTTGGCGCAACATAAATTTCATCTTGAAAACATTGGTGCCCATGACATAGTTGATGGAAACCCAAGAATTATATTAGGGCTTCTCTGGATCTTGATTTTACGTTTTCAAATTGATGATATTACTATTCTTGAACGTGTTGATGGTGCGGGTCCAAGACAAAGAGAAACTCGTCGTTTTTCTAGAGATGCCCTTCTTTTATGGTGCCAAATAAAAACAGCTGGCTATCAAAATGTTCATATTAAGGACTTTTCTACTTCGTGGAGTAACGGTCTCGCATTAAACGCCTTAATACATAAGCATCGTCCTGACCTGATTGACTTCAATAGACTTTCTCCAAGTGACCCTTTAGCTAATCTTGAATTAGCGTGCCATACTGCTGAAACTATGCTTAATATACCAAGACTTTTTGATCCGGAAGATATATGTGTTGAATATCCAGATGAAAGATCTATTATTACATATGTTTCCCAGTACTACCACTATTTTTCAAAGTTGAAATCAAGTGCTGTTCGAGCTCGTCGTATCAAGCATATTCTTTCACAGATACAAGATTTCATGGATAATGCAAAAAGATACGAAAATCTAGCTAGTAATCTTCTAGCATGGATTCGCCGTACTATTGATCACTTGAATAATCGCGATTTCGCGCAATCTCTGGAAGGTGTTCAAAGGCAGTTCACAAGTTTTTCTAAATATAGAACAATAGAAAAACCTCCTCGATTTGCTGAAAAAGGAAACCTAGAAATTGAACTTTTTACCCTACAGAATCGTATGCGAATAGCTAATATGTATGCTTTTGTGCCTATTGGAGCGCTGAGTGTAGCCAAGCTCAATGAAGCTTGGGAGATGCTGGAAAAGTCTGAACATCATCGTGAGCTTGCTTTAAGGGAAGAACTGTTAAGGCAAGAAAGATTAAATCAACTCGCTTTGCGTTTTCACAAAAAGGCAACAATGAGAATATCTTGGATCTTAGAAAACAAAAAGCTCATGGTTCAAGGAAATTTTGGAAGCGAGATTATATCTTTGCAAGCAGCCCTTAAAAAACACGAGGCACTTGAAGCAGATGTTTACACATACTTTGATCGCATACAGGCCGTCCATTTGATAGCAGCTGAGCTAGAAAAAGGTTCATATAGTGAGATAAGTAGTGTTTTATCCAGAAGAAATGAAGTAGAGTCCCTGTGGCAACAATTACTGAGCATTATGAAGGAACGTCGCGAACGATTGGAACTTAAAATTAAATATCAAAAAGAGTTTTCGGAAGCAAATCATCTTCTAAAAACAATAGAGTATTTAACTAATAGAATACATTCTGAAGAAGGCATTGAAAGTGATCAATTTGCATCAATGACAGATCTGCTTCAACGTCAGGAAATTATCGAAGCAGACATTCGAGCTCTACATCATAGTATTCTTCTCCTTGCAGAACAATCAAATGCTACAATATTGAGGGCAAAAACGTTCGATACACGCACTATTTCCGCAGATGTTGTTAGAGAAAATGAAAATTTACTTCAGGATAACTATACAAAGTTGGTAGGCTTGGCTGAAGCACGGCGAACGAGGCTTGAACGCATGAGTCTCCGTTATCAGATCCTCAATGAAGTTGCATCAGAAAGAAATTGGCTTGAAGAAAAAATAAACGTTCTACAGCACCTTGGGCTGCCTCATGACCTGAATTCAGCCGAGCGATTTGTTCGGCAACACCATACATTGCAAGTGGAATTACAAACTAAGCAAACGATCCTTACTGCCCTAATAGATAAAGCATCCATTTT